CACTACCCACGACCCACGACATTTAGCTACACTCAATTTGGAGGTTTATTCAATAAGTGATCTTCCCTGTGCACAGGCTTACTCACATTTCTTAGAGGTACAGTCAAAGTTTTCTCGTTATAAAAGCCGTAATCTGTGGCAAGGTTTTTTCTGGCGATTCATGCATTGACCATACATGGCAGTTTTAACATGCCCATACGCTAGGGATAAGAAAGTATTAAGATGCGTCAAGTACAATACTCGTTCCTGGCCATACCTACCCATTTCAACATGTCTACCAGCTAGGGATAACGAATTATTTAGATGTGCCAGGTACGATTAAAAAGCGTTCCTTATCATACATTCCAACTCAACATATCCAAAGAAATAAAGTATTGAGATGTGCCAAGTACTATTAAGAAGCGCTCCTGACCATACGTACTAATTTTAACATGTCTACAGGCTAAGCTAGGGATAAGAAAGTATTGAGATGTGCCAAGCACGATTAAGAAGCGTTTCTGACTATAAATACCAATTTCAACAGGCCGACACGCTAGGAATAAGAAAGTATTGAGATGTGCCAAGTACGATTAATAAGCGTTCCTGGCCATACCTACCAATTTTAACATGTCTACAGGCTGGGGATAAGAAAGTATTGAGATGTGCCAAGCACGATTAAGAAGCGTTTCTGACCACAAATACCAATTTCAACAGGCCGACAGGCTAGGGATTTGAAAGTATTGAGATGTGCCAGGGTACGATTAATTAGGGTTCCTGGCTATACATAGCAACTTCAACATGTCTACGGGCAAGGGATAACAAAGTATTGAGATGTGCCAATTACGATAAATAATCGTCCGTGGCCACATTTACCACTTTCAACCTGTCTGCAGGCTATAAATAAGAAAGTATGGAGATGTGGCAAGCATGATTAATAATCGTTTTCGACAATCTCTACCTAATAGTCTTACGCCCCCTGCAGGCTAAGGAAAGAAAGTATTGAGATGTGCCAAGTACGATTAATTCTGATCACATTTACCAGTTTTAACCTGTCTGCAGGCTATTGATAAGAAAGTATAGAGGCGTGCCACTGAGTACGATTAATAATTGTCCCTAACCAAATTTACCACTTTCAGCCTGTCTGGAAGCTATAGATAAGAAAGATATGCCAAGTACCATTAATAATCGTTTTTGAAGGATTCTTTGCCCGTGTAGACTGTATTTCTTTCACACACAAATTAATTTAAGTTGTCATTCATATGGCTATTTTTCCTGAACGAGTTATTGCTGAAGAGGTTTCATTTAAAAATTACACCATAAATAGCTTCATGCATATGACGCAATACTGATGAAGAGGTTTAATTTGGATAGTCACACATGAAGGTTTTCGTCAAAAGATTCCAAATCAGTTAAAACCGCGCGAAACATAAACTATACATGTGAACGTACTACTAGAAAGGTTCGATTTTGATAGTCACATCATCTAATTTTGTCCAGAGACCAATAGTTAGAACTACATGCGAAATAGCTAGTTTCATGTGAACACGCTACTGAAGAGGTTTTAATTTAAATGGTCAAACTATTGGATTTCATCGACGGACTAGTCACTGAAGTAAGATTTCGAACTAAATCAGTAAAACATAAACAAAAGTCATGTAAACGTGCTACAGATAAGGTTTCATTTAAACAGCCAATCACATCACAGCATTTTACAACAGAGATAAACGAGGGACTATTTTTAAAATGTCTCTATTACTGAATCTGGAAGTAAAAAGATTAACTTTAGCGCAAGTCTCAGACGACTGTAGTTTTCTTCTTTGAATTTCCGGCCTTTTCTGTAGAGTGAGCAATAGGCGTCAGTTCCAAGGCCACAGCCTGCTCATTACCATGGAACTCTTCTAGTTCTACCTCGCCCTCACTCCCCGACGAGCCACCGTAAATCTCTGGTTTCAGCATCTGTCGTCTCTCCTCTGATTCCGGATCGAATTGATCTTCTATGTCACCTGGTAATGGAGGCAAGGGATTGTTTGCTATATTTTCACTTGATCGCCTATAAGAAGAAAACAACGCTGTCAACCAGAGTAGATTCCTATAAAATTGACCATACATTTTAGATCATGCGCACGATTATAGTAGGCAACGTGAATCACACTAAAACATTTTACGACGAGCCGATAATTCTGTGAGACAACATCGCAATGCTCTATTTTATTATCATTATTTCAAATCTTGATGCCAACCGCAATGGACTCGAAACATGATTTATACGCTGCGAACGGAGTTAAATTTTCTCACTCTGAGATTTATACGCTATTACGCCTCTCTTCTCTCATTCTCTGAATGCCTGTTTACCTTTGATTAAACGCCGGCATTGACATAAGGGAACAGTTCCTTATTAGCCACTCGTTCGGCTCAATTTTAAATTTACAGTGCACAGCAAGACCATTATCTGTATCCACGAGTTAAGCAATGTTATTTCTTACGTAACAATGTAACTTAGTCCCTTTCGTTCTTTCCCATGACCATGCACGTGTCTCATTAACGATATACTGTCTCCTCAGTACTCCTTTGAAGAACCTATTTCTTCCCCGAATAAGCGCTCCCTCAGTGGCCTAGCTAGTATATAAGCAGAACTGGCCCTACCTATCAGTTATTGAATTAACATAACATAACGTATTTATTTAAGTAACAAAAATGTTCATTAAAATAATAAATGAATCATGAACAAAAGTGCCGTGTTTAGGTTTCAAGTTATCCTTTCCAAACGTTTCGGGCCTGGCCCTTCATCAGTGGAATTACCAGTTCGTTGAAACCGTTGCAAGATTTATATACGCCACAACTTAGAAATAAAAATTAAAGGCTTTGTAGTGCTCGCGCGGCTCTGCGCGGCTGACTGGTGCCAAGTTGGAATATCAGTCGCATTTCCAGGCGCTTCCGTTGCGCGTTATGCACCTATCAATGTAAACCCCGTGGGGGGGGGGGGGGGGGGGGGGGAGGGGGGGGGG